AAAAAAAAAAAAAAAAAAAAAAAAAAAAAAAAGAGGAATTACTGTGTTGATTCTGTCCTACCTTTTTTTCCCTCCATTTTGTTTTTTTAGTGATCCAATTATTCCTATGCCCTGAAGCTCTTACAGTAATTTCCATTAACTGCGGGAATCCTGTTTAGAACAAAGTTGATCAATTGCAATTGCATTTGTGACAGGCTGCTGCTAAACTAAACACGCAAGAGATTTCACCCTGTCTAAGACAACATAACCTCTCCATATTTATACAGAAGCAAAATTTGAGTTTGTAATTACTGGAGCCAGTTAGCTAGAGCAGTTATGATTATTGCTGTACTGAATTTTCCTTGCTAAAATAAAAGAAATAAAACAAGCAGTATGTAGTTCCTACTTTTCGATTGTTACATTAAAAAAAAATTCAAGTAAGATGTTAATGTCTGTCTTTAGTTAAGAAGTTTATTATATAATAATGTTGACTCAGAATTCTGGTAACATACAGAACTCGTAATTATTTAATACAGGGGCTACATGCGACAGCTTAAACTGATTTCCCAGCGGTCTTCTTTATCACAGTCGTATATAAAAAGGATTGATGAAAATATGGTTGTAGAGAAAAATTATTAGAGAGAGCAGAATGCAAGCAGCTCTTTGATGACCCTGATCTTCGATAATTCCTGGATTTATTTTTTTAATACATTTACACCACATGTCCTTTGATTAAATCACAGGAATAGCATGACACAGACCTATTGTAGAATTTTATGGGAAGCTACAACTGAAATCAAACACAGTGTCCAGAGTGGCACGTTTTCATATAGGATACGGAAATACACTAGGAGGTCCGAGGTTATATTTTCTTTGTTCCTCCTCAGATGCCTTCATTTGTCTCCTCCAATACAAACTCAAAGGCTGACCCCAACCTGTCCATGACTCATGAGGAAACACCTTGGCCTCCACTCCCAAAGATGAAGGACACGCTGGAGCTTTTGAAGCGTGACTGGTCCATGCAGGGGAGGGACTGCTTGTCCAAATGGGATGATGTATTTGGGGGTCGAATAGGAAATCAGCATGCAAGTGCTATTCCCCAGGGAATTAAAGAGAAAGATGTCATTACAAATAATGCATGGCTCTCTAGAGAAAAAACAGATGGCTCGACCTCAGCTACCACAGCAAAAAGCTCTTTGTCAGACATGTTGTCAGCAAGTAATAAAGGTTGAAATCCTGTGGGAAGAAATCAGCTGCATGGGAAAGAATAAAAACCTCAGAAATAAAACAAGGTAAAGCAGCTTAGCAATGTGGTATTCCCATTGTAATACTACTTTGTATGTATAAAAAGTACTGCTTATTTTTTAAACCAAAAATATTTTGCTAGATGTTTGAGGTGCCTGGAAAATTTACATGAAAGAGAGCTTTAATCATTTTTAAGATCAGAATTTGTTACAAGACTTTAGATAACTGAAACCAGCAGAGTTTTCAACAGCCAGGGTGCTTCTCAATTTTTGCTTTACCGCTTGTCTATGATTTGTTTTTCCTTTAACTGTGAAACAATCTATTAAATCACTTGTTTTTATATACAACCCATTTCTTCAGAGTGCATTGGCAATTTCTGAAAAAATATCTGGCTTGAGTGACAGGAACTTAAGGAGATATTGTGGCATGGACTTCCTAAATTCCTACTTTATGTAAATGTGTAGTTCTGCTGTTAGTAATTCCTTAATGTTGTGGGATTTTTTTTTCTTTTTTTCTTTCAATGAGCTGACTTACAACAGGATATTCTGTGTGTTCTTGTAGATGGTACTATCCATAAAACAGCATCCTTCAATTGTTACTTTTAAGCCCTTTATTCGAATTCTGGTTTAATTTTAGCAGTTTTATTGGACTTGTTTCAAAGTGCTTCTTTAGATGACTGCTTGGGCATTGTGAGTGCCATAACACAGCTCCTGGGGTAGATACTGAGATGACAAAACCCTATATTCCTGCAGTAAACAAGTGAAGGCAGTGCCAGGCCAGGTGCTCTAGCATAGTTGTGGTAGAGCTTCCTTGTGAACCTGACTCAGAAATAGATGTGGTCTGGTCTGTGTGAACCTTTGATGGAACATGAGGTAATGGGGGGGAGCAGGAAGGAGGCATGTGTGAGCCAAGATAACTTGAGTCTGGAAAATTTAACAGAGCATGATTGCAAATTACCCTAAACACTTAATTTATGCCATTTATGTTGGGATCCTACCAACCAGGGCTGATATTTTTGGAAACTCAATTATTCAAATTTCCTAGCTATCATTATTTTTAATCACTTTTATTAAGAAAGGGCATTTTTTAACACACGTTAATTTGTGACACTGTTCTGTGTTTTTTCTCTGCCTTCATTGTTTACCTCCAATTGGTTCATAATGCATTATTGCTTTTTTTGATGCTGCTCCTCCAAAGCCAGAAACAAAATGAGTGGTTTTGAAAAAGTATTAATGCACATATTCACTCCTCATGGTGGGAAACCCATCTTAATTTGCTCAGTAATGTAACAGAGCAATTGCTTACGGCAGTAACTGAATTGGTCTTCATCCAAAACCTCTTTAGAAAATACACACCAAGTGTCAAGGGAAATAGACTCTGAAAACGATGTTTTAAAGCACTGTTTAAGCAGAGACACCTATGAGTATCTAACATCTGGAATTCTGCTCTAATCTGGCTTCCTATTCTTTCTAATGCTGGCTGATGTCCTGTCACAAGTTGTTTTATTTAAGACTAGGATATTTCAATGTAGAAAAACACATTACTTGACACTACAACTTTCATATTGATAAAATGATGCTTTAAAGATCAGCACTAAGCGAAAACTTTTTTGGAGCTTCATCTTGCTGACAGTAAATTACATGAACTGGTAGCTCAGGTCGGCTAGAGGTCAGATGATAATACATGAAGCATGTTAATAATAAGGGTATTAATCATAATATTGTGTGATGGTAAGATAGCCTGTTATCATAAATACCATAGTATCTTACCATGAAATGAAGCCATTCCCACTCCACTCTCTTTCTATCAAAGATGACTATGGTTTATCTATTATGCTTCGTGTTACAGCTAAGTAGGTTATTTGGCCCCATTTTTCCTTCTGTTAAAATTAGTTGTTTCCTGAACAAGGTCTGCAGACACGCACAGTTTTAGTTGTGGGAACAGGCACTTACAGACATATTTCCAAAAAGGAGCTGCATAGTATGTAGTGGACTCAAGAAATTCCTCAGGCCAATAGATTATTTGCTGGCACTTTGTAGCTTTGCTTTGCAAGCCATAGATTTGAATTAAAATCCTTTGGGTTTTTTAATTCTTCAAGAAACACATTCTTCCTACAACAATAAGAAAAAATTAAAGATGTGCAGATAACAAAGTTCTGACTTTTCTATCCATTGCTTTTTACTTCTGCTAAGTAAAAATGCAAGATTTTAGATACTGCAGGGGAGGAATGCTAATGATTTAGCAGCGTTCATTTACAGTGTTACCTACAACAGTCCTAGGAAAGATGGATCATCTAAAGGCTTTCCTTTTGAAACTTCTGTCCTACTCCATTTCATCTTAACACTGAATAGGCAAATGAGGAATGATATTATGCCAAATAATTTTCTGCTAATTGATGTAAAAGATTAGATGATGGTTTGTATCAGCAACAAGGTCTTTCAAATTCTTTAAACACTGTCATTTATAGAAACCAGCTCCAAGCTGTACAGTGGCAGGCCAGTGTTTGTATACTGGTGTCCTGCCAAGCTGGAGCCTTTTGGGAGTCTGAGCTTGCTGAGTGATTCATATAGAACGATTAATATTTCCTCTTATTCCATAAATCTTTTTTTTTTTTTTTTTTTTTTTTTTTTTTTTTTTTAAATTAAGGGCTGGTAACAGCAAGCATGCTTAAATAACATATCTGAACAATTGATCTGTGTTAATTACCTGTTGCTTGGTATCCAAGGACTGCTCAAGTGAAATGGCATTATCTGAGCTTGATGGGTTTATCTGCACACCTAGAGGGAAACTGGACATCAGTATACATCCTACTAACCCACACTCTCAGAGCCTGTTTTCCATCAAGACCCTTTCAGTTACAAAGAACTTGTTAGAAACATGGCAAAGCTGTTTGCTGGGATCAACAGTTCATGTAAACTCATTCTTGTTAATACTTACTCAAGTAATCTTTGCTCTGTTCTTTTTTCCATGCTTGAACTCACCAGTACTAAAGCCAAAATATCTTATTTTAGCAGCAAAGTTTTCTCTTTTCTCTCTTTTTTTAAAAGAAGTGTTATTTAGACATAGAATATATATGCAGTACATGGAAGAAATAACCTGAAATAGTGCACACAGTGTATTTTAATGGCTACCTGAAAGATAAACTTGGAAAATAAAATGATGATGCAGCTCAGGCAAAAAAAAGGGAGCAAAACTTAGGGTGTTCAGTGGAAGTGATGCCACCATTAGCTCTAGGTGCTCATGGTGTTAAAACATCTGAAGAAAGGGAAATGGGTTCTTGTGGAAGCCTATCAGTTCCTATCTAATGCTTTTTTCATCTTGTAAAAATCTTTATACAAGATCTGGTGATGAAATTGGAGGCTCAGACCATGGTAACTCAGTCTCTTGCTCAGGACTCTCATTGCTATGGGTCAGAATAAAACTGAGTAGCCAATGATTGTATTTTCTGCAGTCCTTAATAAATCACAATTACATTTTTGAGTGGCAACTCAGATGTGTAAGAATGCAATCTAGTATCTTCTTAGAAACAACCTTTTCCTTTAGTCTTTAATCCGATGAATATTAAAGCCCCTTATCAAAACCAGATAATGCATGGAAGGTTTTTTCAGTGCTGACCTTTTTCATATGGCCTGATTAAACCAAGAAACTCCCATCTATTTGTGCAATTGTATTCTTAACAGGCCAGCCAGCTGGTAGCTTTACTTAAGTCTGTCATTCTTGCAGCAGCTTTTTCTTGTGAATAAAGAGAATATTTTCTTTCCCCAGACTGTGTCCCAGATCTTACCAGTCAGTATAATGGTGAACCATGGGACAGTGTGTTCCTTTACACATAAATATAGATAAAATATTTATGAACATTTGTATCCTTAAATATGGATAAATACAGGGGATTGGCATAAATGACGGTAATATAAAATAGGAAAAGTTACTTTCTGCAGAGAAAAAGATCAATGTTTGTATAAACATTTTTTAACACTTTTTTTGTCTTGTTTTTGTACGCATAACATCTTGAACTTTTGCTCCTGTACTGGAAACTAAACTGACTTGCACCCTTGTTAAGATCTTCTGAACTCTAGTAAAAAACTTGAGGATATTTTTACAGATGATGGGTCAGGTTCACAGCATGCTGCAGCAGCTCTGTTTCAATCTGGTGACCCAGACCAGCTGTTACCCTGGCTTCTCAAGAACTGAGATCAAAGCATCAACGATAGAAAGAGAGGAGTGTGGTTTTATTTTTGTTTGTTTGTCTGATTCTTTGGTGGTGTACAAAGAATTTTTAATCAACAATTAATCAGAAATTCAGGTGTGAGCTGTTCTGTCATGATGTGAGAACATGGAGCAGAGTAAATGGGAATTTCAGCAGAGAACTCCTTGAAGTTCATTTGGGTTGCACTTGCACTACTTACTTTTAGACAAGAGTGAGAAGTTTTGAATGGTGTTGCATCTCAGCATATTGCTGTCTGGCAAAGCATTCTTTAAGTGTCATTTTTTTTGTAGTGTGGCTCTAAGGCTGAAAATTATGAGTGATTCTTTCTTGCTCTGAGCCACTGCTCGAAAGGGAGAACGTGGCCATCTACTGGTGCCCTGTCTTGCCCCCACCACCTGCTGGGTTCCACCTCTCTATTTTCCCATCTGTAGGCTGAGGACTTTGTCTCTCAACAGCCACATCCTAGTTTCCATCTGGCTGCAGGCAGTCCCTTCTGGTGAGGGGGCTTTAAAATAAACCTAGTAGTGAGGCTGCCTTTGGCAGTGGCTGGACGAAACTGGTAGTTTATGGATGTTCTTGGAGCTTACCTTGGGGTGCACAAAGCTGTTCTCATCTCTCAGAAGACATCTCGCAGTTTAGGATAGCTCAGCCAATGATGTGAAACTTCACAGCAAATGTTAAATGTGTTTTGGAGGCAGAGAGTTTGTAGTCATCTCTTTAGTAACTAAGCTTGAATCCTGCTTAACTTGGGATCTAGAAAGTGGGATTCATTACACCAAGTGTAAAGTTAATCTCCTGAAACCTCTGACAGTCCTGAAGAGAAATCAGCACTAGGTCTAG